GATGGAGATCCCACTAAGCCCAGGTGTAATGTGGTTCAATCTCATTTTCCATCCACTGCTTTCTCTTGTACTGCATCCCAATTCACCTACTTACTTACTTATTATGCCCTAAAACTTTTGAGTATGTAGCGGAATAGTAGACCAGCTTTGGGACATACTACTTCATCATAATTGAGTCATTTCATTTACCTATCATATTGGAGAGAAACGAAGAGGCACACTGATCTGCCAGTCGCGGGCCTTTAATGCCTTGAACTCTCCTCATGTGTTTGCATAATGATGCATTTACAAGTTAATAACCAAACATATCTTTATAAAGGTTTTCAATGTTCGCAAATAACGCAGATACCATTTAATAGTTAATATTTGTTTTTAATCAGGTCAGGTATTATTACGCAAATCCCTTTATATAAGCATCTCTACTTCACCGTCAGTCTCGCATATCCACTTTTTATTTGTGTTTGTAGTTCTAATCGAATCTGCGTCCAATGTGCAATGGGTTGTGGGCAATATTAGCCCTTCGAGTGTGCATGAATCTGCACTTCGAATTTTCAATGGAAATAGTCAACTGTCCGAGATGCTCATTTTAACATACTATGATTTGAGACACACTAATTTTAATTTTGAATACTATTTAAGACAAATACTATGCGAATTGCGACTCAGCATTGGTTGTTATTAAGATCACGCGTGATAGAATATGGCCAAAAATGGCATCAATGGAAAATGTATACAGTTTAGTGCCTTTTTTTTTTTTTTTTCAGCTGTGTTTCCCTGAAAATAATTGCACAGCTTAGAATGTTCGTCAGCCAATCAGATTTAAGCATTCAACAGCCCCATAGTATAACTTTGTATAATGGCTGCTAAACTGTATAACTGATCGTTGGTAAGTCCGAGCAAGTCTCGGTACTTGCTCTGTAGCAGCAGCAGCATAGCAGATCTATTCCGCCAAGACCAAATACATTAACATTGTCATTTACATTACCATGCCAATCCCTCCCAGAGTTGTCTTGACAGAACTGAAATTATGTATACTAAAAAGGTTTGACCACTTGGTGGCAATAGAGCGCAGCGGCCGGGCTACCGACGGGAACTACTACAACATGAGGGGGGTGAACATCAAGCATTTAGTCGACCCAATAGATGACCTCTTCACCACTGCCAGCACTATTGCGGGCATCACTACCACAGGTAACAAAGCCAGAGCTTCAGTGCTCCAAACCACTGTGATTAACTTACATTAGCAAATGTTAGTGTGTAATAAAAATAGAAGTATATTTGGTTGTGGTTTTATCCATACCCTCTCTGATGTAGTCAATGTCCTAATCTCTTTTAACTAACACAATGAATGCTTGAATCACCAACTTTGTTCCCAATTAAATATAAGTTTGGTTGGCACCAGGGAGCGGTTTAATGAGATCTGTCACCTCTTTGGAACAGGATTAATTGTGTGTGTGTGTGTACAGGGATCGGGGATGGTGGTAATGAGCTTGGTATGGGCAAAGTCAAAGCAGCAGTTAAAGCATACATGCCTAATGGAAATCTGATTGCGTGTGACGTGGCTGCTGATTTTGCCATCACAGCAGGTAAGCGCACCTCACAGAGACCACATAATGTTCCTACATGCTTCCTGCTAGCTGAAAATAAGCACGTTGCACCTAAACGCAACTTATGTGGTCACACAGTGGTACTAAGTTTTACATTACACCTACTTGTTTCTTATTAAGGGGGCTAAAGGAAGAATGTTAGTTTCCGATATCATAGGAAGTGGATCAGAGATGTTATTTAACATACCCTTTGTCCAAATACCCACACTTGCGGTCTTGGCCACTTGAGAGCGCGTGCGCGCGACAGGAAGGAAGTGTGCAAGACTGTCCCAGGTCTTAAAAACGCCAGAGCGCAGTGCCCTTAACACACACTAAATCCACACTATCTCGAATACCACTCCGGAGCGCTATTCAAGGCTTAGTGTATCCCATCATGCATCATGTTCTGGAAATAAATCGTGAGACTTTTTGCCGAGATCTCGCGAGAGGTCACGGAAACCTTTCCAATGCAAGTTAAATATTAATATAATAATTAGATATTACATATAATTTGGTAGAAAAACAGTGTTTTTACGTTTTATTGGTGCAAAGACGAGTAGTGGTGATATTTATTTTGTACAACATTTGCAACTGCTTTTTTATCACTTAATTAGAAGCACCACAAATGAAAATTGTCATGTTATAGGGACTACTGAACAGACATTTAGAAGTTGATTTTAAAATGCAAAGTATTTCAAATTAAAGTAAAGCTATGTAAACACTTGCATTTTTACAACACTACAAGTGTGTCCCATCAGGTAATGAAAAGTTCGACACACACTTGTG